ATGTGTGAGTTCAGGTTCGAGTGTTAGTGCACATATTCTTTTTGAAATGTCGATTTCCTGTGGGGGGAGGGGGGCAGAGAGAGGGGAGACCAGGTGCATGTTGCGAAAAATTATTGTTAGAGTGGATGAAGGGGGGAGGGGTGTCTAAAGTCAAAGATGGCAACATTTGACCCCGACTGACCCACAACAATTCTGCTGGGTCTCCCCAGACCCCAACACCAAATTATACACTTTTTTTTTTTAGAGACCTTCAGACTTGGCTAAAATGGTCAAAATCAGTTTTGTAGTGTTTATAATATCATGAAGCCTTGTTCCGATACAAAAAACTAGAGCGTAGTTATTATATCATTTCAACTTGAAACGGGTCACGGGACACCTAAGGGTTAATGACCTGCAGGGACTACCTGACCACGCACCTGGCCATGATGATGGATGAGCTAGCTGATGCTAGTCTCACTCTCATGCCTTTTTATTCTTCTAATGTTTCTTTGTGTCTTCTGCTCCCCAGTGAAATATGAGAGGATCAAGTTCTTGGTTCTCGCTCTGAAGAACTCGGTGGAGGTCTACGCCTGGGCCCCCAAACCCTACCACAAGTTCATGGCCTTCAAGGTGAGTCAACGCCTCGCTCAGCTGTGTGTTTTGACAACAAACACATGAGCACTACTACATCTGTAATGACGGTTTGGGGAGTGGGTTCTTTAGTGTGTGTGAGGGACAGTGTGGGGGAGTAACGGATACAACAGGGATTACATGACGAGCCACTGATTTATATTCCATGGCAGGCTGCTGTTTGCCTCGTTGAGACGACGGTGGACTTGTTTGTTTTTGATTGTTAAGAAGATGTTTTGCTGCCGATGCATAACTTGTGTCTTTTTGATTACGTTTGCCTGTCAGTGGAAAGGAAGAATCCACTGGCCTTGAATGTTACCCATAAGGCCACACTGTAGAGAAACCCCATACCTAACAGCTCTTGTCATGTGATGTGTATACACTTTAAGGAGAATATCTTAAATTGCAGTCAGCTGATGTTAAATCTACAGTGGCCTTTTAATAGCAGGGACACATGAATTAACCTGAAACATTTGACGATAAAAATATAATGTATATGATTTGCTTTTAACACACACAAAAAAAAGATACACATATCATACAAATTGGGGATTATTATTATTATTATTAAGTAAAAACATTTTGTTTTTTGTTGTCAAAGGGTCAGATGTTGTTCAGCTTGCTATCAATACTGATAACCTCCACCCTGGCAAATATTTACCCTCATGATGCTCGAGCTGTTTTTCTGACCTGTGTGATTCTCAGTCTTTCGGTGACCTGGTGCACAAGCCCCTGCTGGTGGACCTGACCGTGGAGGAGGGTCAGAGGTTAAAGGTCATCTACGGCTCAGCTTCAGGCTTCCACGCCGTGGACGTCGACTCTGGGGCCGTGTACGACATCTACCTGCCCACACACGTAAGAACAGCATGCATTATGTCCACACACATCTATTCAAAAAGGAGGTTTCAGAAGACAAGAATTTCTCAGACTGAAAGGTTTGTGTTAGGTTAGTGAGCTCGATGGGATTTGAGTTTTTAACAGAAGATGATTCAGGCCACAATATTTGTTCTGAGGTTAAAGTCTGACTTCTGAGAAATAATAATAAATATTCTCAAAGTATCAGAATCCATGATAAAAATGTGACATTCTGAGAAATACATTTAAAAAATCCTGAAAATCTCAATTCACAAAAAAGTCACATTTCATTTTTATTTTTTTTAATCCTCAAAATATGAGAATATGAGAAAAGTTAAAATTCTTAGAATTATTATTTTTTTTTTTCTGAAAGTCTCACCTTTTTTTTCTATCAGAAGAAGAACATCACTTTTGGTCAGATCTCCAAATAAATGTCACTTGTCCTTGTCCCTGCCCTAACCTCGTCCGTAGGCTTTCCCATTGTAGGAGCTAACTCGTAAAAGGATCCATATGTCACATATCTTTGTAATAAAATCACACATTTTCCCAGATAAAACTCACACCAGACACCGTGTTGTTTTGTGTTTCTGCAGATCCAGACCCACATCCAGTCTCACGCCATCATCATCCTGCCCAACACCGACGGCATCGAGCTGCTGGTGTGCTACGAGGACGAAGGAGTCTACGTCAACACGTACGGACGCATCACCAAAGACGTGGTGCTGCAGTGGGGCGAGATGCCGACCTCCGTGGGTGAGTCGCAGGTTACACAAATACCTGTACTTTCTACTTCTTACATGTTGAACTCAAATACCTGTACTTTCTACTTCTTACATGTTGAACACAAATACCTGTACTTTCTACTTCTTACATGTTGAACTCAAATACCTGTACTTTCTACTTCTTACATGTTGAACTCAAATACCTGTACTTTCTACTTCTTACATGTTGAACTCAAATACCTGTACTTTCTACTTCTTACATGTTGAACACAAATACCTGTACTTTCTACTTCTTACATGTTGAACACAAATACCTGTACTTTCTACTTCTCTCATTTTCCAAACAGGCTGGTTCCTTTAGTCTGAATGTGTGTTTGGTGGCGTGATCATTATTATTTAGAGTCATTGCGTGCCTATTGATTTGAACACGATCCGTGTATCCATCATTTCCTGGTCTTCTCTAAAGAAGAGGGACCAATGAAAACGTTGTCATGTTGCCGTTGGTCACCATGGAAACATTCATTAGCTAACAATGACGTTATTGTTATATTAATATAAAGGGAGGTCAGGTACTCTTTAAAACAGCTGCTAGTTATGGGTACTTTTTACTGAAGTACATTTCAAAGCCCTCTTTACTTTGACTTGAGTAAAGAAGTTTAGTCAGTACTTCTACTTTCACCAGAGTATTTTTAAACACGAGTATCTGGACT